AATACTTTTTTTTAATTTCAGGCCTTTTACTCAATTTGTTCAAAAATAAATTTAAGTGAAAGGAGTGAAATTTCAAGAAAAAGCGATTGAAATTGGAAGTTTTTCAACAAAGTTTTCAGGAAACTAACAAGTGCGTTTAGACAATGGGCGGCGAGTAGTAGAAGACAAATCCAGTTGTTGTTGACATTCAGGCATTAGTCCCCTTTCAGACACGTCAAGTCTTGAAGGCAATTTTTTTTTCGCATTCTCTTTTGTGTTTTCTACTTGACGCGTCAACTTTTATTGAATTCTAATTCTTGGTTCTTTAAATGGGAAACAATGAAATGATCCAAAGAGACAAGAAAACTTGAAATGAATTGACGGTACGGAGGTAGTATCTGTACTCTTCCCCACTTTTCTCACCTCCTTCGCCATGGAGCGAGCAGACTTGATTGCGCGCACCGCACCGCCCACACACGCAAACGTTTTAGTTCTTCTTTCCAATTCAAGAGATGCACACAAACCTGGCATTATTTTGCTGATTTAAAAAAATAAAATAAAAATAAAAATGAAGAAAAAAATAAAAAATAAAAATAAAATAAAAAATAATAACAAATAAAATATATTTATCGCAAACTTATTGTTATAGCTGAAAATCGCGTAAATGCTGTCAGCGAAAACGTCACGAGCATCTTAGCATTTAATTAAAAACGAGTAACTAATAAAACCTTACTAATTACAAAGAAGCGAGTAAAAGAAAAACGTGATAATTTAAAGTAATCGAAAGAAATGTGGCGAGCGAGAGACATTTCAAAAATTGAGACTACTTGTACATACATACCTACTACTGGTAATAAAAATCCGCACCCGACCACCTCGCACAATCCAAACCCCCACCAATTTACAATATTAAAGCGCAGCGGCAGCAACTACCGACGAGTGCCTATTAATAGCAATAACACCGGTATAGCAAATCAAAAACAAAAACTACACGGAAAAAGTAAACAAATATCTCGAAAGCAAGAAAAACTTTATGTGCGTTCATCACCTTGTTTTTTTTTTTTTTTGATGCAACTTTGTATTCACCCCATCAAATTTATTTGTGTAATGTCGACCGTGCTAGTTAAATTTTATTATATGCAACAATGTTTTTCCAATTTTTTGGCTTGTGCCATAACACAGCTGTTTGGGAGGAGAGGCCTGCCTTTGCAAGTGACATAGCGCGCTGGAGATGTTGTACATTTTTTAATTATTATTTTTTGTATAAAATGTGTTATGTAAATACATATATATATATATTCTTTTTGAAAGTTGATTATATGCAAGTGTGTATGATCACTCATTTCCTTTGGATTTATGTACATAAATAGTATGCATGTATGTGAATGAGTTTGAAAGAAAACAAAAAAAAAGACAATAACAGACACAGAAACGAAGACAATTATTACTCGAACCCTCAATGATGTATTATCATCATAATAAAAAGTATGCCACGCGACCGGCTGTCTGGTCTTGGCTTTGTTTTTTTTTTTTTGTTACGTTCGGTGCCCAGTGGTTGATGCAGACAAAGCCGCGAAGTCAAAACAACACAAAAGAGCAAAGTCGCATTTTTTTTTTTAGATACCAGTTCAATACATATGTATATACAGTGCCGAACAAAAGTATTGGCACAGAGTATTTATCGCAATGCAAGCAAAATTGTTTATTCTAATTTCTTTTCGCCAATTTTTTATAAAAATATAGCTCATACTACAATAAAAACCATAAAAATAAAATCTCTAAGCTTTGAGCAAAACTCAAGAAAATTCAACAAATTTGCGTTCTAATTTGCAACTTTTTATTTAGTTTTTTTTTTTCTTTTTAATTCTAAGTAGTGCAAGTGCAAGTTTGAAGTTGCTAAAAAACGCGTGCTAAAGTCTACAAAGCTCTCTAAACCAAACTAAAACCACCTCATGCAAAATTGCCTTCTTAAAGAATCGTGTTTGCTGTGTTTTACGCCTGTATAAAAGCGAATTAATGACTTCATGTTTTTGGAACTACTTCTGAGTGGAAAAAGAACCGTGCTATAAGTACATTTTGGAAACCAACAAGTCCGACCGGGTGGCCGACTACATACATATGTATGTTTTTATGTACATCTAAACAGAGTCGGTGAATTATGGTGTGGCAATGTGTTGGCAAGTGGTTTGAGTGCGCTTTTAACCAATTTAGAATTTCCTTTTGCTTCTCACCTTTGCAGGTCTGTATAGTTCTACGCTTATTTAATTTTAAATACTACGTGTAGTATATGCCTTAGAGCTGTAGTAACAAATAATTTGCTTATGCGCTGCCTCTACTTTTTACGCTTTGTCAGTTTATTGACCTTCTCAGTAGCTATGTAGACATGTAATGACGACGAAAACTGCAAAGACGGTGTCAAACTGAGTTGTCATTATGGGTTTTGTTAAAAAAAAAAACAATAATAATAATTACTTATGAATCTGTAAAAGTGTCAATTGGTAGGGAACCAGTAGTTGCGTTTTTTTTTTTGCACGCTATCTAGTAAAAACCAGAAATTTGTTTACTGGAATTTCACTGGTTAACGCTTTCGTTCACCAAAACTTGCAAGAGACTAGCAATAATGAAAGCTGACCTTGAAAGTATGTATTAGTAACTATGTATGTATGTGCCAGTAACAAAACAGCTGATGCATTGTTTTTGTGGCTTTTATAGTTTATAAAATAAGCATATTTGAAATTGCCGCATTTCGACTAGGCACAAATTTTAATGACAAATTTGGCAATTAAAAAATACCTCTGCCATCACGTCAAGAAAAATTTGCATTAAATTAGTTTCCACATTCTTTGAATGGCACACATTTTTCGCTATTTCCATGTCTAGTGGAAATTAGGCATAAGATGTATTTTTGGAACGAATTTCCGTAATCCCTTATCAAATTTGACTATTGACTAACTAACCTCAAAATACATATGTAAGCTGTGTATATCCTAGGTGAAAAAAGCATTAAAACTAAAATTTGAATTACAACAACGTAAACTCGAAAACCAAAACTTAGCGAAATTCTTGAAGATTTCTCCTCCATATTACCAATGCCAACTTTAATTTCAAAGAAAACAATAGAAAATGTGCCAGCAGCTGGTTCCAATGAAACGTTCACGCGCGGAGACTTGCTTTTTTATCAACAGAAACTAACAAATGTCCGCCAAATCACAGTAGATATATTTGTCTGTCTGTGCGCGTAGTAACCAAACACAATGCCAGTCTAACGAGAGAAACAACAAGTGTAGCAAAGCATTCATCGTCGTCATACAAACAAGGAGTCGTCACACAGTCAGCCGGTGGTGAGCCAGCACGCTATCCAGCCAAAACAAACTGTTATCCACCTCCTCAACCGCTTGCCAAATGGCATGGCATATATTTTTACCTTCTTTGTATCCCTTTAAGTCGTGCCTGAAATTGAACTGATGCGCTTGGGATGTCGGTAAACTTCATGGCCTGGTTACTGCTAACTGATGACACACTCAACTTAACCTGAACCTTAAAGATTTTATGTATGTACATATGTATTTCACATTTTGTGTTGTGCTCTTTAGATGCGATGGTCCTCGTGTTGTTGTTGTTGTTGTTGGTTAAAAGATGCTGCTGCGCCGGTTGATGCTTTTTTTTATTATATTTCATTCATGAAAACGACAAACATTTATTGACACACTTTTGTGCATATGTACATATCTATGTATGTATGTATGTACATAGATATTTACGGTGGCAAAGAGCTGTGCATACAGAGTATGACACAACAACAAAAACAACACCACTTTTAGTAGCACATAGCAAGTGCCTACGTCTACAACAAACATACATATGTACAAATGCATGTACCTACTACATACATACATACATACGTAGCTACATTCTCATTCATACATAATTACGTAGACAAGATTGTGCTATATCAGACAGTCTGTATGTTGGTTGATTTGTAGGCAAGGTGACGCGTCGACCGTGCAGAGCAACATGGCACGCGTTTGTGCATACGCTTCTGTTGGTAATTGTATTTGAACGATTATGTCCGTCCCAACTAGTACCCACGTAATACAAATTTTCATACTGTATGAAAAGTACATACATATGTATGTATGTATGTGCATCGGTTGTTTTTGTTCCTTTTGATTTCTGTCCGTATTATAAATACTTTTTTCTGCTCTTTTTTTTTTTTGATTGTGATTATTTTTTCATGCCCGTTGTTGTTGTTGTAGCTGCCGTGTTGCCCTTGCTGATGATTTAAGGCGGCAAATTTTACTCGAACGAATGAGTGAATGTATGAATGAATGAAACGCGAGGGTATGAACTCGGCGTACTTTGTACGTTTGTAAGTATGTATGTATGTGCATGACTGTTTATACATTCAATTTGCTTCTTTGGCATGAGTAAGCGATTGGGATACCCCAACTAGAAACACCATCAGCCGGTTAGCTAAGTACATTTTACATACATACATACATATGTATGTATGCACATATATGCAGTTGTTTGTTGGTGTGTGAAGATATTTCTATATTTGCCGGCGACTTTCCGGCATTGATAAGCCAGAGATTGTTTACTTTTGGTATTTGGTATTATTGCTCCACCTTCAGAGTCAGATTTTTCTTTGCATTCTAGTTGCAATGTTTATCTAAACAAAACATACAAATGCACAATTACTAAAGGTGGCATAATGACACTCTTTACGCACGAACTTCACCAGCTCACTAATTAAATAATGTTAAATGTAAAAGACATATTTTTACAGCACTTCGTATCCCACCAGCAAACGAAGTATGAAATTTATTATTTGTAAGCTTTTCTGCTGGCCAAATAATTCCTCCAATCATCAAATTGGGAGGTAAGGGAGTAAATTTAGATAACAAAAAAAATCAATGCCAATGTCGAAGTACATAATGCTAAAATACTCACTGTCAGCTGTATGTGTGCAAGTAAATGATAATTATGGTTAAAAGAAACTAAATTGCCCAAATAAACAAAATGAAATTGACAAGTCAGCGAGTAATTGTTTTGAATGTCAAATATAAAAAGCTTCTCTTTCCACTTACCGGTGGTGGTGTTCGATAGGCCTGTGCGGGCCCCAATTGTGGACTGTATGGACGCGGTGGTGGTGCCCAGCCTTGTTGCGTTCCATATGGTTGATGTGGTGGCGGTGGCGGGCCGTGTGGAGCCTGTGGTCCGCCCTGTTGTTGCTGTTGTGGAATTTGTTGTTGCTGTTGTTGTGGATCATAGCTATTTGCGTAACGATGTTGTGGTGGTGGCTGTGGATGCGACGATTGTAGCAACGAATTCAATGTGGGTGTAGGACCTTGTGGTGGCTGCCCTGGAATATATCGTTGTTGTGGTGGTCGACTTGGTGAGGCTATACCGCCTCCAGGTCCCGTCGGTGGTCCCGGTTGCTGTTGCGGCTTACCACCGGGTGGTGGCTGCTGCATGGGAGAATGCCCATAGCGATAGGGATCAATGTTTGGATCTGGATGATGATAACGTCCATAAACGGGATGATGTCCACCCGGTGGCGGTCCACCCAAGGGACTTTGTCCATATTCATCTTTTTGTGGATGTTCTCCGGGATTCTGTGGGCCACCAGGGCCACCAGGACCACCCTGTTGATGGGGCAAATGTTGTTGTGGATGCGGTTGTTGGTGTAGATGATAATGTGATATTGCCGCTGCTGGGTCACCGCCTGGCGGTCCATATGTATGTGGAACTGTTTGTTGTTGTGGATCACTGCCGTTATTTGATGCTGGTGGACCACCAACTGGCGGTCCACTGCCTATTGTTGAGTTGGGTGTCGCTGGACCACCGGGAACTACGGAGCCTGGACCAACATTACCACCACTACCAGGTCCGCCAGAGCCGGCTGTACCGCCGGGTCCGCTCGGTGGTCCTGCACCGGCTCCTCCAGCTGCACCACCCTGCCCAGAGGGTGATTTTATTTTCTCATTCATTACTTGTTTCGACTCAATCCAAGTGTAATCTTCTGTTCGCAGTTGCTGTTGTAAGGGGCTTGTGGTTTCCTTCAACGGCCGCTGCAACTGCGCTGATGTGTTATCTAAAATAATGAAATTAAAGAAAAAAATTAAAAAGATTGAATTTGATTGAATTTTTGTTTTAAATGTGTTTTGCCAATAGTATTAAAAATAAAAATTAATAATTTTACTTAAATGTTCGTAAACTATACTATACTAAAAGGAAACAACAATTAGCGCAGAATAAATATTAATAAGTATATAGATCCCGCTTAACTTCAATAGGTACACATATTTTCCTCAAGAAGGAAAGTGGTGAAAATGAAGAAAACATCTTGACTACTTTGGATTTCATTCCAGTTTTTATCAAACTCGACGAAAATTGTGCTTATCGATTATTTTGATTCACTTGAATGGGGACAGTGGCTTTAACATAAGGAAAGGACTAGATGGAGCCAACAAAAGCATACCATTCATTTTAATTCTACTATATAACACTTTTAGTATTGGATACAACATCCTTAATTCCAATGTATGGAAGAAAGCCCTGCCCGGAAAGGAATCCTAGAGGCGGTTTGAAAATTCAAGGACATCTCGCTTTTTGCCACTTTATCCGCCGGGAAGAACAGTTGCCAATCATCCCATGGATTTTCTGACAAGTAAACCTGCAAAATACCCAATTCCAAATATTTTCCATTAAGTTTAGGTCCTGTGAATAGGACGAACTCTGCAAAAAATACGACTTTGCTTCGTTATCCTCATTTTTAGAGCTCCTGTAGTGCGAATCGGTGCGTAATTTTGCTAGCAAAGTAACCGTTTTCGACAGGAAATCTAAGATAGAACTTTGCACCAAGACGACCGGGAGCGACTCCTGCATGGAGGGTATATACAGGTCGTGATTTGCTTGACCTTTTCTTGGCGGTCCAAACAGGAATTTCGATAAACTGTTGTTGGGTAGCTCGTTTCCAATGGGCTGGTGATAATAATGAGGTTGACTTACGTTTGATAATTTTGGGATTACCGGTGTACGGTGGTCTAACTGCTGCCAAATGAATATACCAGAATTTATATCCACAGACTCTTTATTTCCACAGGCAACAACTTGGTTGGGGATTTGCCAGAAGGAATGTGGTAGAACAATGCCGATAAGTATATTCCCCAAGTATACTCACTCTGAGAATTGACTTTAACCAAACCAATGTCGTCAGCTTTAATAAATTGCTTGGTTAGGATTACTTCCGTTTTTGCGAGGGCTGATTCGGTCCGTGTCCAATTCCAAAAAGGAAAAATATTTTTCTAGCCTCGTGGTATGTGACCACCGAATCTTTTATCGTATGTGAGTGTGGGGGTTTTCATAGTGGCCATGTCAATTCGTGTCTATACCGATATGGATGGTTCGTGTCTTGAATAACTATTGGTTACGTACATTCATCTGGCAATCCCCCCCATTTTGAAGTTTAGCTTTGACAGTTTTGTTATGTTTACATTTCTTATAATCGTTCATATGTCTATTATTTGGGCAATGAAAATAATAGATCAGTCGTTACCATGCAGTGTTAAACAGATGGCTCCAAAATGCCACAGGTATTGGGTCAGGTATTTTCGGTCCCAGGATGAGACTATCCGTACCAATGGACAAATACCAATGTACCAATGTACCAAGCTGAGGTATACTGAGGTGGAGACTACCGCAACGAGAATCCTTTTCCTCAGCGATGGTCAGGTAGCACTTAAGGCATTATCATTCTTCGAGATATAATCGGCTTTGGACCTTGAGTGCGTTGAGAACTTCAATACCCTTGGGGAACTCAACAAAATCAAACTACTGTGGGTTCCGAGCCCAAAGGGTATACAAGGGAATGAGATAGCGGACGTTTTAGCCAGAACAGCGGCGAATTCGTCCCCAATAGGTCCTGAGCCACTCCTGGCAATAGGTCCAAATTCAATCACGGAGTGGATTAGGAAAGGACCACTAGATAGGAGGGAAGAGCACTAGCATAGTACAACAGGACTTCGACAAGCTAAAAGTTTACGGGGGGGGTATAATAAAAAAAGATATAGACGTTTAATAAACCTCCCAAAAATAAACTTCGAATAATTACAGGCATCCTCACTGGACATTGCAGATTAACAGGTCATCTGCACAAGCTTGGAATCTGTCCGACCAATATCTGTCGTTAAGATCGAAAATCGAATGCAACTCATAATAACGGCCTATATTTTGTGAAGAAAAGTTAAAACAAATCTAATAAACAAGTAATATAAAAAAAATTTTTTTTCGACAAGCTTTTATTAGTTATAAAAAAAGTCGACCCCCGGACACACTAACGGCTCAATATTTGGGGGATTTCTTTCTTTCCATTTGAGTTGATAATATACGTTCTAAATAAGAAATAAATCGGTGCATAAATAAATCCTTTTCATGTAGGCAATATACAATCCAAATTTGAATCATAGCGTTCCGTAAATACGGGGTTTTCAAATATCACGACACCCGTGCCACCTGGCGGATCAATTCATCTTTCATATTGCATTGTCATCAGATTCTGCACCAAGTTTGGAGTTTTAAGTTTTTAGCTAATCGGGAAGTCGGTTAAAAATTGATTGGAATATTTGATTACACACAGGTGAAACATAACAAAAGATTTTAAAAATAAAAATAAAAAACAAAAGAAAGTAATAATAAAAAAAAAGGCTCTAGAACAGTGATGGGCGCTGCCTTTCCCGTGAGCAAAGCTCTTTCAAGCTTTGCGCACATTTAGTATAGTGAGCTTAATAAAATGCTAGTTTAAAAAACTAAAACCTCCCTATTATAATTGCCATTCGTACTGTCATCAGGTATGTAACTTGAGAATAGAAATCGCAGCATCTTTTAGGCGCATCAATATTACATAGTTACATCCCGAGCTAATAAAAGGAAGGTAAAAAAGAGCTTTGCCCGCGGGCAAGGTGATGCCCAGCACCACTTTAAATTTAATAATTGGAAGATTTCTTTCTCGGGAGAACCGAATTCCCGGAGAACAAACACCCCGGGAGTATTCATAATTGGGCTGATAATATAATTTTTTTACCATATCGTGTGGAAGATTCTTACAGGTTTTCCTACTCGGGTCAAATCAGCAGCCCTTGTACACTTGTATGTATTTATAGACGATATATTTACATATCGTCACTTTGGGTGAAAACGTGCCAAGTCCATTTTTTGAAATTGTTCAGGAGAGACGAAAAATCGATGTAGTTTCGTATTACATGCCATTCCGCATCAAAAAACTTAATTTTGGAAAAATGGACTTGGCACCTTTTCACCTTTAGATAGCGATTTTCAGTCAAGCTAAAAATTAACAGATATATGTATGTACATACCAAGAAAAAAATTAACAAACTTGTACATATGTACATATGTACACATGTATGTATCTACTAAAAATTTTTGTTTTAAGAATTTTACTCACATTAGTCGATTTGGGAATATGTACTTGAAGTAAGTGCGAATATTATAGGTATTGATCTGCCGATTATTGTGGAAAACATTTTCATTACAAATTTCTTTCGCTGCTATTAGTTCGTTTATACATATTGGCTTATTTGTTCGGCAATGCAAGTGTATACATTCGTTTGTACCTCGAGTATGAATTAATACCGAGATGATTTTTTAATTGCCAACACCCAAGTGCAAATGTGAATATGTCGATATTATCTTTTTTCAATCGCGTTTTTTTTTATGTTCATTTGTATGTAGTTTTATTTTAATTTTAAATGTATTTCTATGGTGTGGCCAGTAGAAGGAGCAAATCGGTGTTATAGGGCAAAATAGACAATAAAACCAAGAGAGAATCATCGGAATCAGCAGCCATTGACGATACCACCAGCTACACGACTCAGAGGTTATTTTACAACAACGACAACAACGGGCCAGCGGCCAACAACATTCATGCAACAACAGCAATAAAAAGATGCATCATAAAATAGTAGTAGAAATTAAGTCAGAAACAAGATACGCGACCGAAACGAATGTACATAAAACGACACAACACCACCCGACCACGACCGT